CGCTGCGGAAAAGAAGGATGAGGAACAGACTAGCAATGGCACTGCTGACCCCGCGGTTCATAGCAGAGCTGTGCTACCCAGCAAGTCCGCCTGCCAGCACAGAGCGGGCCCTTGGCACACGCAGCACAGCTCTGCCCTTACACTCCTGCCCTGGCAGGAAGGACCGAAGGATCCACCGGGCTGGCCTCGCTTCTTGCCCTTTGTGAGTCTTGGGCTGCTAACACGTAAATAAGACCTGCCTATCTCATAACTATGTGAGAAAGTTACTCAATTACTAGACTAACTACCAGAAAAAAACCAAAAACAAAACATTAATTAACTGCTAGCATTTGCTTAATGACAGCATTAATGATAGCATTAAGCAAATGGTAGTGGAATTATTTACTTTCTCTAAGAATTACAGGTTCCATCAATTTGATAACATGAAAATAGAGTATGAGGAAGAAACTGTGTTCAAGCAACACAAAAACTCTGACTAAGCATCAGCTTCCTTTTCTAAAAATTCCTTTCTATGCTGTACCACTCTCTATCCAAAATTACATGAAGGAGTTAACAGAACTTGCTATTTATATTTGGCAAAATAAACACTGGCAACATACCAATAACACACAGGTGTATGTATACATTGTATATATGTCTATTCACCATAGATACATTTTAATAATGAATTCTAACACTAACAAGATGACTCAATGAAAAAAAAATTAAGTTGACATTATTAGAAAATAAATATAGTATGTTGTGACATAAGAAAAGCCACAGTCTATACTGGGAATAAAGATGATGTCTTGCAGAATAAATGATTTATACAGTTCTACCAATTAATTTTTATTATAATAATATTATTTAATGGCAATAGCCTAGTACTCTCAGTACACTCACGCTAGGAAGCTAAATAAGTTTTAAGAATGAAGTAATTTTTTTACCAGGCCAGATGATCATATAACTTACTGGCATCAACGTTGATCTGTGCTTCATTAGCCTAAAAATATCCAAGAGACTTCTTGGTTCTTACTCCTTCAGTACTGAAAGGATGCTGAGTTATTTTTAGGAGAGTTAATAACAGAGACCAGAAATTGCGATGGTGAGCAGAGGTCCTTTCCTCTTTCTGGTGGTACAGGCTAGACAGCCATTATTCGCATTTAAGATTAAATTTTCAACAGTGCATGGGGTTATACTTTTAAGTGCCTAGCATCCACATTTGGGTCAGATTTTTCAAGATGCCAGCAGCCTATTAGGCAGACACACGTGGATCAGATTTTCAAATGTGCTAACATATTTTGACACTCAAGTTCCTTACGTTAGGTCTTAGATGGGAACTGAGCTTCCCTTCAAAATCTCACTTCTGTTGTGACTCCTAAGCTCTTTGGCAACATTTGGCCTGAAGGCACAATTTAGTCTTTACTGATGAGGCAATTTCAAAAAACTGCTCACCTGCAGCTCCCTGTTTAGTATTAACTAATCGATATGTGAAAGCATTTTCTAATACAAAAGAGACGAGCAGGTCATCTTTTATGTGTTGGAGCGTTCATGTGTGCGTGTGCGCACTTGTGTACGCTTCAAACATATTTTGTAAATATTCCACCTTCCCTGACACACGAGGAAGTAATTGGTACATGCATGTTTTGGAAACCATTCAAAGTTGATTTTCTGCGTGGGTAAACAAAGTGCTCATTGGTGCCAGCTTGCTTCGTTTGGGCAGTGTGAGGTGGAAGGCAGGGCAGTCGCATCCTGCAGCTTCAAGGTACCTACTTGCTTTTGTGTAGAGAAGGGAAAGAAAGGGGGAAGGAACTCGGGATCCTGACAGGACAAGGACAACGCGGTAGTGAGAGGGACTTCTCTGGAGTTCAAGCATAAAGGCTGTATTGAATCAATGCAGATGTTTAAAACTAACCAGATAAATTACCTATTAAGCACTACAAGTTCAGCGCTAACTGTTGAAATCGTACCTGTATAGACTCAGGCGTACACAGGACTGACATGCTGATACAACATTTGTGCTCTTAGATACGTATATAAACTTCAGAGATGCTATCTGCACCCCATTTGAAACCAGTGACAATCTACAAGGTTGCCACTTCTTGCATTGCTGGAAGTTTAGAGAAATGGCGTGGTATTGGCCAACCCCGCAAAGGGCGAGTTTGAGAACAGCAAAGAACCTCCCTGAAAAACGGCTCTTCCTCCCCATCTTTTAGAAACCAAAAGGCAGGATTATCTCAGATCAAGTACTGCACAAGTAGACTCTGTAGGCCTGAAGAAAAGTTAGCAGTTGGCGGTGTTTCAACGCTCATGATACTGAGATTTGTTGGCCAAAACAAAGCTTGTGGAATTTATTCAAACAAAATACAATCAATATGAAGACAATCTACAATTTCTTCTTCTGCTTCTATACAGAAGCAGAGAAAGCACTTTGCCACTGTATCATAAATCACTAGCACAGATATAGAGACATAAAATCATCTTTGTCTACTGTTTACAGTAGAGTCAACCTGAGAATCTTTCTAGACAGAGCGGATCTGGCAAAAATGTCTGAAACGCCTAAGATTTCTTATTTTACTTCATCCATTCTCTCTACAGCTACTAAAAGGCTGTTTTATATTTTAAACCTGAAAAATAAATAGTGGAAGTTTTGGAAGAAAGCAGGTGTAGCAACAAAATATATTAAAATGTGAATTACTAACTGATTGATTTTATAATGCCATTTTATTTCTTTTTTGGATATAGCTGCATTTACATTAATCAGGTTCATAGTTACGTGAAAATAAGCTTTTTCTGGTTTTGTCTATAAAAAAGACAAAAACTTTACTTCAATTTTAGCAGCATCTGTAAATTAAAACACAAGGGGTCTGATATTCTTTAGCGAGCTGTAATTCTACAGGTCTTATGCACCTACAGGTTAATGTAGCTACAGCTGATAGAATTTTGGTATCTGCTGCATGTACAACTTGAAGCTGAAATGTTGAATGTCAGTAGTCAAAACATTCTGTTGAAAGGGAAGTCAAATGGCTGGGCTGCTTTTGAACTCCTCCTTGCAATAGCTTGATTTTCAAACAGCAATGTTATTTCTTTTAAGATGAGGGAAGGAAATGTTTTCACCTAAACGTGCCCTGAATTTTAGTATGTTGAAATCTATTTATCTCTGACATTAGCCTGGTTGTAATTCCCATCAAAGTTAATGAAGATGATTCTGACACATGCTATGCACAACGTATGACTAAACTTTTTTTGGCAGCATCTTTTATTATTAAACACTGCATATCTTTTTGGGGGGAAAAGGAGGTGTGAGTGGTATTTAACACTGTATCCTTATATTCTAGTCCCTTATCCTTTTTATCACGTAAACCATAGAAGTATTTCTAATTCAGACTTAGAATTACAGAATCGAAATAAATACAAAAAACCCTTCTCAATTTAGCCTCCTAATTCCAGATAACTTTCTTGCTCTGTTCATTAAGCATGACCAATTTTGAGAAAAAATTATTCTTGTAGCTGCAAAGCACCCTCAAGTGTCTATTTACAATGGTCAAAAACTATAAATGAATCTTCAATTAAAAATAATTTTGATCTTTGAGAGGCATTTGAGCATTTTGTTTATTCTGGAAATAAGATAATATTCTAAAATTAAGGGCAGAGTTAGTGGGGTGGAGAATATTTTACAAAGAAACTAATAAGCATTTTGGCTTTGCATGTTTTTGAATTATATTTCCAATTAAAAATGCAGAGTGCTAAATCACATTACAAAGACAAATAGGAAAGTACAACTTCATTGTTGAAAACAATTTCCCTCCTATCAATCTGAGGATTCATGCATCAATATTGTAGATGAACTGTTAATTACAAAATCAATTAAAAAATTATTTCTAAAAACAGTCACGCGTCCTGGCTCTCAGGGGGGCAATTTGGGCAGAAGGTCTCATCTCACTAGGACCGCGCCAAATCACAAGTCGTCATCCACAAGTAAGCAAAAGCAATCTGGTTTTTCATTTTTCAGCGCGGCTGAGCCCAGCCTGAGATTGATCGTCACATATGGCCCCAGAAAACAAACTGTCAATACCTTGAATGCTGCAGAATTTGAACAAATAGCCGTCCGCCCATTCAAGCCACTCATTGCATCCCATTTAACAGATTTTATTGACAGTTTCCTTCTTGTAATTAAAGGGAAAACTACTGGCCAGCAACCAAGATAAAGTTCAAAGATAGGGTCAAAACAAAAGCAGATGGAGGGGCACGGTGTGACTGTCAATGGAACATAGCATCAGAGCATGTTATTGACACACAGGTATCTAATGATCGGCACGTCATTAAAGAGGGATCTATCGTGAACTTTATGCAAATGCTAAAAGGGACTTAAGACCACAATAAAGCATTAAGGAGACACAAAAGGAAAAACAACAAAGCACAAACGATTTTTACTTATCTGACAGTATTCACCGCTTCAGCACTTTTAAATTCAAATGCAGAACAGAAAATTCTTTCTGAGACTTTTAACCCTTGCTGCACAGTTAATAAGTTTTGCAGAACCATTCTCATAAATGAAGAGGATCCATATGGTAAGGTGTGGTCCTTGTGAGATTAAATAAGAATTTCGTCCCTCCTCCCAAACACTGAATTCACCTTATAAATAGCTGCCTTTAAAGAGAAAGTATACAGCATATTCTCACGCACCCTTTCTGCTCGTTTTGATTGCAATGACCGGACCTGCCTGGATTATGGAATTAATTTAGAACATCTGTATTCATGTGAAAGGATCTTTGCTTGTAAAATACTCTCCAAATCGTACAGTGCAATATTCTCCACTCCCTTAGGAACATATTCTGCCATTACTTAGAGCCAGAAATCTCTTCTTAGTTTGAACTGCTTTGTTTGTTACCTTTTAGACTAAGGACTGATTAGCAATTTCTTACTCTAAACCCGTGTTTAAAACAAGCATGCAGAAAGTATTACGGAGGGAAAAAAGGGACATATTAAAAACGTAGCAACCATCGTGCCACTCTGCCAACCTGAATTAGCAAGTGCTATAGCTTTGAGGGTGACAAACTCTTCTTTCTCCAGCTTCATGCTCTTGTATTTCTTCACCAGCTGCAGTATGGCATTGTTAAGGTCAAGAAGGCCTGCCAGTTTGGATTGGTCTTCATCCATAATATAATCTTCAGCATATACGAGCTCATCCTCAAAAGAAAGTGACCGGTATACAACACCAAGGATCAAAATCTCCATCCAAGCACTCTGCAGAAGGCTCATCTGGTCAGCGAGAGACAAAGTGGAGAATCCTGAATAGGAATAAAACACAGGAAAAATATTAAACACATTTGGATTTGTTAGAAACCTACTCCTTTTTATTTATTTACCTATTTTTATATACTTTGTGATAAAACAGTTATGTAGTCTCTTATTCTCTCTTCTGCTTCTGTGCAGCTCCTTCCCATCCTACTACAGGAAAGGAAATAAATACAAAATCAAACGCTTTCTAATCAACGCACAAAGTTATAAACAACTTGGAATTTGCAGGTTCTTTCTGTAAGAATCATATTCATTTGGGGAGTATTGCACTGACAGTTTAAGATTTGCAGGATGCCTTCCTTGCTCTGAAGTACTCACACTTAGTTCTAAAACCTGATGCTGTGAAACAGGGATCTTACAATTCTACCTGTTATTACCATAAACCAAGAAGGATAATTCAGGAGAGGGGGAAAAAAAGCCCAAAACCACACCCACAATTTTTTTAAAAGGGAAGATTTGATGTTTTAATAGAATTAAGGTCATTATCATGAAGATGAAAATTCTCTCCAAACTTCAACCCCAGAGGAAAAAGAAGTAACACCTGCCCTCCTTGGAATAGATGCCAAGTACTTCTGCAATGGCTCCCGCCTCTACAACACTTGTTGAAATAACAGAGTGCCACATTAAAGTGCCACCTGAATAGCAGTCACACCGTCCTTTTTCTGAGGGCAACCAAAAATTTAATAAATGCCTCTTAAAGAACTTAACTTTTGCCTTTTTCCCTCCCTGCTGTCTTTCCTAATAGGATCACTAAGGGCAAACATCTTTACTGTCTTACCTTGTCATACTCTCGTTTACAGTACCTCTTAATTTATTATATCAAACTGCTAATATCCCAATCACATTAAGAGCTACAAAACAACATGGGAGAGGAAGTGATTTTCCTGGCCTGTTGGTAAAATGCAGTAGTTTGCCAGTTGGCACCATCAACCATGAGTACTTAATAAAATCATCAAAGGGGATTAGTCAAGCTTTTCTTAAAGGGTCTTAGGACATGTCTGAGGCTTTCATTTAGTTGTTTATGGAGCTGCTTACACGTCCTTTGACAGGGTTCCCGCTGTAAGAACATTCTTTTTGGCGTTCAATTACACTTAAATGTATTTTTCTGTTTTGAAAGTTGAAAGTTACAGTCGAGTAGGAATATATCATAAACTAGCAAATCTGCAAAGGCATCTACTCCAAACATGATTTTCTCTATCAGCACTAAGCAGCAAAACTAATACAATAAAAAAGAAAATCCCACATCCAAACCACCAGGCATCCATAAAAAATGAAACATAAAACTGGCTGCATGCTCGCTCTCTCTCAGTTTTCTCCCCCTCCTTATTTGTTTTCATTTTCTCTTAGTGTCTTTTGAGTCTTGTGATAGAACTGTAGCTCTCTGCCTTCAAAAAAAAAACCAAAAAAACAACAACAAAATCTGAGCCAACAACAACAGAAAACCCTTGAAGAGGTGACAATGGAAAATAACACATCTGCAATTGAAATAAATAAGAGGGAAATGGAGAAGAAATAATCATTTGGAAGGTTATAGGGAGGAATTCATGATTTCAATTAGCTTCAACATTTCTGTTCCTTCCCGTCTTTCAAGAACCAGTTTTTCTGCAGTAGCAGATGGACAGAGAACGTAGCCTGCAGCACTGTCCTGTGACAGCCCCATTCTCCCTCCCAGACACTGCTGTTAGTAAATAGATTTACACATTCTCCAATCTCCACACATCTTTCTGCCGAATAATTAAAAGCAGGATGATTAGTTTATTGAGTGGAAGGAGGAACTTTTTTATTGAGGTCCATCCACGATTTTATCAGGGCCAGCACTTTTACGGTTGTCATGAGGGTGCAGGCATCCAATTTTTCTTATCTGCCTGATTAATACAAACGCTGTTTCAGGACGCATTAATTAACAGATACAAATCTACGTTCTCATGGAAGGATCAATACAGAGAAGAAAAGAGGCATCAATGTGAATTTAGTGCTGATGATGGAGAAGGCACTCTATTGACATTTACGTGCATAGAAACTTTAAAGTTGCAGTGGAGCCCTTTTGTCCCTGTGATTTACAAATTAACAATTTTTCAGGTATAACAATGTTTCACACACTTCTGAGGAGTTTAATTAAGCAAAAAGCAATAAAATCAGTTTTGATTAAAAAAAGTTTAACCCACAATTTCTCTCTATTTTTTCTGAAAACTCCCCAATTTCCATATTTACTTATTTCTTTTAGTACAGGTTTGTTGGGTTTTTTAAAAAAATAACGCTATGTTTCAGTAACATATATCGTGTGCCACAGTCAAAGGAAATTACATATGCTCTGTGAGGGAGGAAAATGGGATGTTGCCTATAATTTATTGCACTGCACTCTTGAAAAATCTGCATTCTGGTGCAGTAAAGAGACTAATTGTTTTTATTTGACACAGATAAAAAAAATCAAAAGAATTTTTTTTACATTATAGGAAAACTGCCAAACACAAACCACACTGTTCTGCTCTCCAGTAATAAATCAAATAAACATGATTATTTTCTTCCTGATTGAAGTAACTTTCCCTTGAAAGCCTGCGCGGTGAAAGCATGTTTTAACTTTTAAAGGCATCCCCCATGGGAATGTAAAGCTGCATCAAGTTGTATTTCATCTGGTTTTGTTTTGATTTTTTAAGAAAATGTGAAAGCACCCAGCATGTCTCTTGTACCACACCGATGCCCTTTTAATAGCTGTTCAGCAAGTTACAGTTAATAGATTACACAGGCTTATGTATTTACATACAGAGACTTATTTTTAATTGTTTGGAGAAGGTTATACTTACTTCATGTCAAAGTGTGCTCTGATTCTCTGAGTTTTTGCTATATGAATCCCCTAGATCAGCCATGTTCTGTGATAAGTGGACAGGCTCTAGTTTAAAATATAACTATTTAAAACAAAGTCTCGGAATGAGATGTAAGCGCACTTCCAGCACCGGCGGTAGCCTTCCCAGTCACAACTTGTAAGCTCTTCCCGAACCGCCCCGAGATGCTGCATGACGGCGTGGTTTTGCACTTTGCTGTGCACTGTGCGGCTCCTTAAGCCTTAGGAGTCTTGCAGGCCATCGTTTTAAATGTAGAACTGCACAATGGCTTTTTAAAAATACAATGTTGTGTACCTTCTTCCCCCACAGCATGTACCGTATGGGTGACAACTTTGATCTCTTTCCATCTCCCTCCCCAAGTCAATGCCATTCAACGTATCTCAGGGATTTGCTAGCAGAATGACTCCGTACCTTGACCTGCAGTTAAATAGCAAGTTTATCTGCGATACAGCGCGCGCCGAATAAACCAGTTGACAGTTTGCAATAACGTCATTCGGAAGGATTGAAAGGCTTCTCAAGAGTCAGGTACCCCTGAGGTAAGAAGCTTGAAGGAAGCATGTTTTGTGCCAACCCTCCTGCCATCTTCTACTAGACGCTCCTGTGCTTGACAATGATGCCATGGGCACTTGTCAAGATTTTTTTTTTCCCCCCTCTTTTTGCCGAGCAAACTGATGCACTTTGCAGTCAACTTACAAAAAAGGCTAAGCATTTGAAAGTGTGAAGGGCAAAAAATATCTGACGGCCAGTCTTCAAAAATACACTTTCATTTCAGAAAGCATAAATGTTTATTTCCTGAGCTGAGTGTTGACAGAAATAGGCTGCAGCGCAGGCATATGAATTTAACCCCTGGTAGGCATTCTTTGCAGCGCGGTTTTCGTCTGGCTGAATGCAAGCATCGTAAATCTACAGGGTGTCTTGTAATATCAGTTAACAATAGCATTGATTTGCTGGTTACCGATTTCCTTCCTTCCTTTTTTCTTTTTTCTTTCTTTATCCTCCTTTCAGGGACTGTAGTGTTTCTTCAGCTAAAAATAGATACTTTTCTACAACCAGCGTCTCACACTCAAATTGTAATTATGCCGTAATGACTCACTGAGATCACCGAGTGTGGATTGAGCAAAGGTTGATTGAGCAACCGAACATATGCTTAGGGGTTTTTTTTTCCTTTCTCATACCAGTAAAACCCAAGGCTCAAAGGAAGCAGAAATAAACAGGTAAACAGGCCTTAGCGTTTTTACTCTCAGAACAAGCAGCAGCAAGCTGACCGTGCTCTGCAGCGCTCAGCGTTCCAAGCCAGCTCCAAACACGGATCTCTTAGATGGGGCCGTTCAAACCACGTATCTTTCCAAGGATCAGCACATGCTCCACTTGCTCTCTATTTCACATTGCACACAGCTCCATGCTAAGCAGGGTAAATCTTTTATATTCCTGAAGACCCTTTCCTCTACTTCATTAAGATGGACTGCATGGACACTAACTCACTAGGGGCTAGAGTGAAGCAGCTGCAGATGGTCAAGTGCCAAAGTAAGATCTGTGCCTTGCACACCGCGCTCCGAGAACTATCGGACAAAAAGAGACGGTGGCTGGACTTATCCCTGCCATTATTTTCAGCCTTAAACATTTGATGCGATGCCTAAATCGGGCTATTCGAACTTGAATCGCTTTGCAGTGAATGAACTTCCCTTCCCCTCTGTTATGTATTTAGAAATCCAAATATTTGATCAAACCAGGTATGAAATTGCTGGCAAATCCGGAAGTTGCTCCCTTGCTCTGATAATCACCTCCCATTTATTTTACCAGTTGTTTTTGTGACTGTTAGTTTTATGAGTAAAATATTCCTCTTGCTTGCCCTGGTTTGCACTTCAAATATCTTCATTTGCATTTTTTATAATCAAAGCTGTGCCTGAAAATGACATGTTCACTAGTGTGTTGCAGATTCAATATATTTACACAGTTGAAATATCAGAGTTGGATTTTTAAATTATTTACACTTAATTTTGATAGATGAACTTCCTTCTAAATGTTTTATGGGTACTGATGTTTCCAGTGAAATTTCCTTATTTCAAAAATGATGTACAGCCACCACTGTCAAAAGAACAAACTGATATTGTAACACTTTTTAAAGAAACTTTACTTTCAGCCCAATAACC